TTAAGGTCAAAAACTACTAGGAATTTTATAAAATTGAGAAGAATTACTTAGAAGATTGATGATTACTTCTAGTTTTAAAAAAGGTAACTCCCAGAAAGACATCTTGATATCAGTTCAAAGTGTGTGTATGTTTAACCAAATTACTTATGTCTTTTGGTCCTTTGGTAATGGTTGCTTACCAAGAATGGTAATCTCCTGATGTTTGTTACTGGACCGATTGGATCTTAGCAATGCAGAATAGTGACAAGGGGGAAACCTACATTTTTATTTTATTTTATTTTTTAATAAAATACTTTCTAAAAATATATTTTTATTGATTTCAGAGGGGAAGGAGGAAGGAGAGAAAGAGAAAAATACCAAAGATGAGAGAGAATCATTGATTGGGCTGGGAATTGAGCCTGAAACCCAGGCTTGTGCCCTGACTGGAAATCAAACCATAGCCTCCTGATTCATAGGTCAAAGCTTAACCACACTGAACCACACTGGCTGAGCAGAAGCCCCAAATTTTTAGTTAGACAAAAGGACAGAATGTCCCCAAATTTCAGTCTTACCTCTTCCTAGCATTCTGACTTTGGGCAAGTTATTTTGCCTCTCTGAATTTGTCTTCTCACTTAAAAAAATGTAGGAGGTGATGATGATGATGATGATGATGATGATGATGATACCACTTAAACTCATAGGATTGTTGAAGTAAATGCAATAATGCCTTGCATCATAAACACAAATACATGTTCACTATTTACCGAGAGTGAAGTGATGGGTATAACTCATACTATTGTATTTTTTTTTAATTCTTTGGGAAAACGGACATTTTTCTCAAGACCAAGATATATCCCACAGTATGTCCTGAGAAATAAATGAGGTGTTAAGAATGCCAGGGTCCATGTGCTTGTCCCTTTTATAATTAAAAGTAAAAAAGCAAACTTTGTATGGAAGTACATCCAAGGCTCAATGACAGCCCAGCCCAAGGACCACTTGGCTAATTAGCACGCTTGTATTGTCAGATTTCCTGACACCCCGCTGCCACTGGTTGTCAGCTCCTTGAAACTGCAGAAATGTGCCTCTGCAGGTGTGGAGCGCCTGCTTGAATTACTCAGGGCGCATGAGAGAGCAAATTATTTAGGCAATAGAGCTGAAAATGTAGGCAAATTAGAATTTTTCATAGCAAGATTGTTCATTGTTAAGCCAATTCATGATTATCTGTGTGCTTCTTGCTTCGAATATTCCCCTACACAGTAAACCTCTTTGCTGAGATGAATATGTATGTGAGCTAATTTAATCAATATACTTGTGACAGGAGTGGAGTCTGACAGAACTCATCCTTTGAAATACTGGCTGAGTTAATGCGTGCAGTATATCTACGGGCCAAGACTCGTAATTTGTGTTAAAAAGAAGATTATTTTGAAAAGACACAACACTGCCTGTTGGAAAATGCAAAAGCCTGAGGGATGGACAGCAAAGGCCTTTTCCCTCTTATTGGACTGAAAACTAAAATTTATGGAACTAAACTGCCTGCCTTTTGGAAAATTTGCAAGTCAATGACTACATTTTTTTATTCTCAGTGTTACTGTTGAATTCTGTAAATTGCCTAAAAAGGTGGAGTGGGCACCTTTTGTGCATTGTTGGATTAAATGGAAGGCTGAGTGCCCTGCTCCAATCTGCAAATGTTTGCTTTCTGGAAATATCAACATGTGTGATCAGGTCACATTCAGCAAGTTTACTTTCCGGAGCAGATGTATTTCAGTCATTTCTTAAAGAGCACTTGTAACGGAAATTGTCTCCTGAGATAAGATGGCCCTACTGGAGGGAGGCTAGTAGAATAGTTTGGTCAGGCTAGCCAGAACTCCTGAACCTTGCTTTGGAGAACCTTGCCATTACCATAATTTCCAAGAGCTTCCCAGTGAATCTTGTTCTAGCAAATTCTGATTCTTTGGCCCACATTGCCCACTGGATCTAAGCACAAACACAGTGGCTGACAGATGGCCTCCTGCTTGAAAATAGAAGTCATCTACAGTGAGTAAAGACGACTCACTAGCCTCCATAAATCTTGTGAAATATATCTTAGCTTGAGTGTCCTCCAGATCTAGAAGAACCTAGGAGCTGAAATAAGACTGAAGACCAAGAGTTTGAGAGCCTGACTCAGGCTAACAAGGACCCACCCTCTCCCCAGGTAGACCCCGAGCCATTCAAAGGTTAGAGTGCTGGGCCAGGGTGGCACTCCAGGACCACCCCTATCACAAGCATACCCTCCATGTCACACCTCTGTATCACTGGCAGGATCAGAGCAGCCATTAGCAGGCATTTTGATCATATGCTTAAATGTCATCGGTTCACTTCTGATGAAATAATCCACTAAGAGTCCAGGCCCACTCAACAGAAATATGTCATTTTCCATTTGATCCAGGCACAGTTTTACTCAGCATTCCCAATATGGCCTGCCCAGGGCCTTCATATCTTATAAAGGACTAACTAGATGTGTTGATCTCTCCATTGTAAAGGTGAAATCAAGATAACACTTGACAAGCCCAAGTTTTAGCACTAATGCTGCTTGAATTGCCTCGGGTAATTCTGATGCTGACTTGAACCACAGGGCCTGGCTAGGTTTGTCTGTGTCTAATTTCTGTGAGTGTAGGTTGAGGTGACACATTTGCAGAAGCAGCTCGGTGCCAGTCTTCTTTATTCCACGTATAAATTTTTTTTAATAGATGGTCCAAGTACTTTGCGTTGCCTAATTATTCGATTCCTTGGGAGTCAGGGTTGGGGAGGCAGGTTCTCATTATAGACTAGTTAATTCAGATGGGAAAACCCAGGCAATAGCTCTCACCTGATATCACCTCTCAGCTACCCCTTGGCTTTTGTGAGTCCCTGAAAAAAGTTGGCATTAGCTGTCTCGTCTCCAGTTGCAGACAATCTGTAGCACAAAACTTTGCCTCCGCTGTCTTAGAACATTGGAGGGACCACAGATGTGAAATATTAGGTTTCAGATTTCATAGAGAATTTTCCTAGGTGCTAAGGATAAGGAGGCAGACTTGGAGGTGATCATTTTTGTTAAATGAAACCTTTTAACATATTAAGTTGCATAACTCACAAATAGACATATTCGACAATGTACAAAGACAGTGTTATTGAGTTTTAGAAAGCTTCAGGATTATGGAAAATATATTGGACATGATATTTTGAACCATCTCTAACTCCGGACGATAAAATTCAATAGTATCTCTACACTAAAAGTGACCCGTAGGAAAAGGACTCTCTGAATAGCTTACACTTCCTGTTCAGTACTTGTACTAGTCCCCTTGAAAGGAAGTTAGTAGGCACACATGCTTTATAATGAGGTTAAGTCCATGAATTTCATGTGTTAATTGTTGAATACAGCATCACATGAAATTCAAAGTAAGTGTTGTGGAAATTCTCCCAGGATATGGGATTACATTGGATTGGGAGAGTGAGCTGTGTGTAAATGTGTTACTTATATCGTGTAACTTACATTGTTGGTTGCTTTGTGTAAGGTATGGGGCCAGATAGGAGCTAAAGGCAGTCCTCGGGTTACGTTGGACTCAACGTAAGTTGTTCTGTGATAACGTCGCCATCTCCCATTTATTTATAAAAATTAAAAAAAGGAGTTCTGTCATTTTGATGTATGTACATATGTGCTATATGTTTTTTATCACTTATTTACCACAAGTAAAGGTCAGGAATTGTTATCTCTTTTATTTTTTTTATTTTTTTTATTTTTTTACTGTTTCACTTCATTACTGCTGTGTATGTGCTCCATGTGAGTGACCTAGGTGCTTATGTAGGTGGGGTCCGACTTACGGCAAAAATTCGAAAATCACGTTATGTTGCATCGTAGGAACGGATCTCAAATGTAACTCGAGGACCTACTGTATATGAAAATGAAATATACGTGGGCACTTGCCTTTGTATTTGTGTGTGTGATTTGTAGGTAATCTGTTAGGGTATCCAGTAATGAAAACCATGGAAAATAAACCTACCCCAATGGAACATTCCAGGTAGACTGGTGCCATCCTGTATATATACTTCAGTGTGGGTCTTTTCTTTTCATATACAAATTTTATTTCATAGTTGATCCAAGTACTTTGTCTTGCCTAATTATTTTGTCCTTAGGTTAGCTTTTAATCCTTAATTATGCTATGTCCAACTCTGCTCAAGATATAATGTATTTACTTAGAAATGTATTTTGTCATATTTGAGAACTTTGATAATATAAATATAGTTATATACATATATATATTTAGTTTTAAAGCATGAGGCATCTTTAAGTAATCAATTGGATAGAAACACAAGTGTGTTGTATCAGAAAATCAATTTCCAAAGCAAAGAACTTAGAGGCTACTTATTCTCTTTGTCAGGACTCATCATTATTAATTGATGAGTCCTGACAAATAGGATATTATCTTTATGGTTAAATGGTTTTGATCGTACACAAATGGACTCATTTTTAGCACATGGCAACTATGTTAATTAAAAAAGGATGAGTAAGGAATTCTTAACTTGCCATCATAAGTAACATGAATATTTGGAATTGAGTCATTTTCCTAAGTAGTCTTAACTTTTTGGAGCATATTTTTCTCAACCAGTTGAGCTACAGTGCTCAGCCAAGACAGATTTATGACCTTTTAAAAATAATGATGGAAAATGAGATCGGAGGAAACATTCTAGTATCTGCTTTGCTCTGAGGCCTAAACTGCGAACTCTCGGGTTCTGGAAGGCTTTGAAATGCTGATTCCAGCCTTCTTGTGGGTCCTTAAACACCTTCTCAAATGACCCATTTTAATAACCCGAAAGCTATTATATAACGAGCAGCCATAATTTAGTCCAGGGCTCTAGGGGGACCCTCACAGTTCAGCAATGAATAGTTAATGCAGTATAATGTTTAGCAGGTTATTAGTTTTCACTATACAAATGCTGATCTGGGAACGCTTTTATAAGGTGTTTAAAAGAAAATGTAATTAACTGGTTGCGTGATTCTATTGCAGCTCAAATTGAAATTATTCCATGCAAGATCTGTGGAGACAAATCATCAGGAATCCATTATGGTGTCATTACATGTGAAGGCTGCAAGGTAAGCCTTTTAAACTGTTGTTGTTGTTTCTATTAATATTAGACTGTATGTTTTAAATTTTTGGTTTTTATTTCTACTGTGTCTAAAAATTCAACTCCTGGGAATTTTGAGTGATGAGAAATGACAGGACAGAATATTTTGGTGTTAAATTACATGTAAAAAAAAAAGTTACATATTTTTTATGCTTTCCATCAAATTCAGAGGCTAGAGAAAGGTATTTGAGCATTGCTTGCTTGTCACTTCTAATCCCAGAATTGATTGATCTGATGAATAATCACTTTGGTTATCTTTTTTTAAAAAGAGATAACATTAGACTTCTCTAATGTTATTAGTTTTATAAGAAGGCATTTGCAATAAATTCAATCAAAATATGATTGAGTCTTATTGTTGGCACACAGATGTTGACACAGCTGGCCAAATTATGGCAAGGCTCTTGGAAAGAACTGAGTTCTGGTCCTGTTGCCACCACTTGTCCATATAGTTTTGTGCATGTTTTAATCTTTTAGTGACTCATTTTCATCATCTAGAAAGTGGGCATAACACATGTTCTTCCTCCCTTTTACAACTATTTTAAGAACAGAATGAAAAACTGTAAATAAAAGTCCTTATAAACTGAACAGCGCAATTTAAATCTAAACATTATTAGTCTTATTGCTGTGGTTAATATTTTGATTTTGACGGATGCTGATTTCAGGGTAATATGTACAGAATGTGCACAATATGGCAATGGGAAATAGAGATGTTTATCCTAATCTTTCAGGACCCCCCAAATCCAGATTGCCTCTGTTATTTAAATTTCAATTTATTGAGATCTAAATCCTCCTGCTTATATTGGAAGAGCCTTGAGACAGCTTACAGGATAAAACAGTGCAAAATAAACAGAAGAGCAGCTATTTAAACATGCTGAAGGCTCTGAAACCTTCGATTGCCACTGAACCAAGCCTGATTTAGCCCTAGGCATTTTGAGGCTGAGGCAAAAAATAAAATTCACAAATTTGGTTAGTTCTCCTTTAGTGAAATTAGAAAAATACAAGGTCATAACATTCAAAATCACCTGCAAACACAAAAAACTACTGAAAGACCACAGGAAAATTTGCCTTGTAATTTCCTTAAGTCTTTGTTTTACTGTTAATCATCGTAACATTTGCCACTTTGTACACATACAAATGCTTCATATTGAGCCCATCTTGATGAAGCTGGAGATTTCTGCACACACCACCGAACACAATAATCTTTTCAAAAATTGCCAGCCTTTCAGAATAGGGGTCTTGCTACTTAAAGGGGAATTTGAATTATTCATCTCTGTGGTAACACTCCAAGCCTCAGGGCTCTGGACTATCAAGAAAAAAAGTTATGCCCTTTTACCCCTTCAGTCTTCCCTCCCTCAAGATGAATTAATTAGTTGAAATAAAACCAAATGAAACCGACTGCCTGGCCTCTGCCATCTCAGAGAGGGATCTGCCTGGGACAGTAGTCGCCTGATTGACTTTCAGAGTTAATCTGGGCTGACATGGCTGGGCAGGTGTAATGCCTCACCCTCATCCACTCCGTGCTCACACCTTCCCTGCTAAAGATGACATGGCCTTTCTGGATGAAGGATATGGAGACAGTAGTCCTCCCACACCTGGAGTTCCACCCAGTGGCGATTTTTGTGTACTGCCTATCACCTTAGGTGTTTTCTTAAGCGGACAGGGTCTTAGGTATCAACCACTCTGAATATCTTCATTCTGCCCAGGAACCTGATTCCCGCCTCTGAGTCTGTCAGTAATGCCACATGAGGTCTTATGTGGCACACTGGAGTGAGTGTCTAAGAATGGAATCCGGGGTGGGGGCTACTTCCTGTGAATGGAGGCTGGGGTGGGGGCTACTTCCTGTGGATCACACCAATAATTCAGAAGTTAAATTAACAACATACCATTCTGTAAAAGTGAACTGACTCTTTGAGGACCACTGTGTGTACATAGGCATTGCCACTGTGTGTCTTCTTTTTACCCCAATGTCTATGACAGAAATAAAAGCAATAAAAAAAAAACAGCAGGCAGCTATTATGTCACAGTTGTCACTTTTCTAGATGACCCTTTCAGATCATGTCCATATACAGGACTCAATGCCAAAGTGGTTTTTGATTATCTGTGTTCTTCTGTTCAAAGACACAGAAACAATTAAAACTTAATTTTATTAACAGATTGGGCCTGTGCCCAGCCTGGGACCTATACAATGGTACGTGTTTATATCAGATGCACATACTGTTTACTCTGCAGAGTAGTTTCTCTCTGCCGTAGCTAATGTTTTTATGTCTCATTGTGGTGAAGTCAGGAGCCTCTGCTTTTGCCATTGAGGTTAATGATTTACCACGTTCTAACCAGGTGGAGGTGGCTACTTTATGACAAATTGTAAATAATTTCCCTCTGTGTTAGTATCATTAGACATAAGGAGAAATTATAATTAGATATATAAATAGATATCTAATGAGAGGAAAGAAAGCGACTCAGTCATTTTCAGAACTAATCATTTTGTGAATACATTTTAAATGGCATCTAAAATTGAAACCACAAGAAACTAGAGAACCTGGGTAATTACTGAAATGATGCATCATATATTGGCCCAGGTAAGCATTGCCCAGGAACAGCGAAAATAGTAGACATTTTGGTAGCACTTTCTCTGGTTCCGGTTATTCCCTGCTCACCCTCTCCTGGTCCCCTGGCCTACCTGCCAAGTGACAGTTTTGGGTCATGCTTGTGCTCTGACTCTAGGAACCAGACTGCCTAGGTTTGAATCTCAGCTCTGCTTTTCCCCAGTCTGAGCAGCTACCCAACCTCTCTGTGCCTCTGTTTCCCCATCGGTGAAATGAGGATAATTGTAGTTAACTTCATAGAGTTCTCACATGCATTTCGGTAAAGCACTTAGAAAAGTGCTCAGCACATAACAAGCACTCAGGAGGGGCTGGCTCTTATCATTCCTGGCCACACTCCTTATGCCTGCATAATGCTGTTCTGGATAGTCAGATGCTATTTCCGGTTATCTATGGGTCCAGTCCTGCTTTTTGTGACCATTTGTGATTTATTATGTAGACTCTGCCAATAAAAACAGCAAACACATGAGCACCCGTCTTGGGACCAGGCGCTTTATAAGTATTGTAAGGGATCCAGAGACACAGAAGGCCTAATCCTTCCGCCAAGCAGTTTATGGTATAGTTGTAGAGAGGAGGCCAGCATAGGAAAAGTTAAATAGCAAAGCAAGAACTGAATACCAGAGTAAGACCACACTCTATAATGTAACTCAAGGAGATATATCCACGAGGCAGCAAGAGCCTACTAATGGAGATATCTTGGTTATATTTTAGGGACAATATAAACCCAGTTTGACTAGAGTGAGGGGTCCTTTTCTGTGTGTAGTGTAAGCTAAGGCTAGACAGGTACACCATTTCAAAAATTTTAAGGGCTCCATTATGCTAAGGTTTTTATTTTAAAAGTATTTCACTTGTTCTTTTGAAATAATAAGGAAACAGTGTGCTTAGCCCCGCTTAAGCCCTGAATGTTTCATTTCAGAAGAATGTAGAATTCATTTCTGAGCTCTTGGAACAGAATTTAGTCCTGGCCCTGGGTGAACAGTAGGAGGGGTGTAAGGTAAGCTGGGGTAGACCTGCCAGGGAGCTGGGGCCAGACCATGGAACATACAGGCGGCAGAAGAAAAGGCCAGAAATAAAATGAGAAGCTATCGATGTGAAGGTTAAAGTTCGGTCTTCAAAGTGAATAAAAATGCAGAAATGTTTATAGAAAAATGACCATTAGTTGAGATTTTCTTTTAAAAAATTATCCTTTTTATCATTCAACTTCAGTTCCTAGCTTCATCATTAGATACATTGGCTGCTCGGATGATGATGATAAAATATTTATTTCAAGATTTAAAAAAAAGCAAAAAAACACAATTTTTAAAATCTGTTTTCTTATAGACTTTTTGGCTCTACACTTTCTTTTTTTAAATATATTTTTATTGATTTAGAGAGGAAGGGAAGCGGAGAGAGAGGCATAGAAACATCAATGATAAGAGGAAATCATCAATCAGCTGCTTCCTGCACACCCCACACTAGGGATCAAGCCCCCAATCTGGGCATGTGCCCTGGCCAGGAATTGAACCATCACCTCCTAGTGCATAGGTTGATGCTCAGGCACTGAGCCACACCAGCCAGGCTCTACAATTTCCACTGTCACATTTCAGATGCTAATGTACAATTGAGTATTGGAATAACTGAATTGATTTCTGATTACATTTAAGACCCTTTGCTCTTGACAGGTCTTAAACTAGCATTTGTTTATCATCATCATACATTTAAGATGTCACGCTAAACCTCCTCTTTTATCCAGTAAAGGGAGAATTTGGAATACTTTCTTAGCATTAACAAATATATGACATGAAATTAACAATAGAAAGATACCTAGCCGAAACCTGTTTGGCTCAGTGGATAGAGCGTTGGTCTGAGGACTCAAAGGTCCCAGGTTCGATTCCGGTCAAGGGCATGTACATTGGTTGCACCGGTAGGGGGTGTGCAGGAGGCAGCTGGTTGATGTTTCTCTCTCGTCGATGTTTCTAGCTCTCTGTCCCTCTCCCTTCCTCTCTGTAAAAAAAAAAAAAAAAAAAAATCAATAAAATATATATATTAAAAAAAAAGAAAGATACCTAGATTGTATAACTATACATTATTTATTCTTGAAAGATCTAAAGCAATTTCTGGAGCTTTTTATGTATTAGGTTAAAAACCAATGTCCATAACTTTTCCTTTTAGGCCGCAGTTGTTTTTAAAAGGATTCTAATATTTTTATTTCAGTTGTGAAATGTCACCAGTCTTCGGCCAATTTTGTCCACTTTCCAGCATTGATGCATTCATTGATGCAAACATTTTAGTGTACTGTTTTATAACAGCTTGGCTGCACTATTAGAGCTAGCCATTTCAAATGAAAATTGGACTTGGCTATTATTGCATACTGTGACATCAGAGTTTC